ACACGGGGAATCAACTTAGTAAGAGTTCTAATAGCAGCACGCCGCACTTCTATAGAAGCATCCAACTTAAAGATTCGAACGAGTGCAGGAAGAAGAAGATGCATATGATCAACCAACGTTCCTACAGATTCAGTTCAAAGATTTCTTATATACAGAAGAGATATCAAGGTAGTCCTACAGAAATGGCGCAAACAAAAGATACCCACCGCCAAAAACTTCAAGAGTATGGAGAATGTCAACAACATAAGTGTAGTCTTTAAACCTCTCAGCATCAGTTAGTACTTGAATGCAAGATGGAAGAATAAATGGGAGATGTGTTTTAAATTCGTCATTAAGAGCCAAGAAAAGTTGCTCAAGCAGATGGAGAACCTAAAGTTGCAAGTCGGGAAGTTTATAATCAAAAATCTAATCATCTTCTAATACAAGAATAAATCCCGTCACTGAAAATATGCAGCAGCTGAACCACGTAAAAATTCGTTTACCGGAGATCCATGGACTGGTCTGTTAGCAGCAGGCGAATTGAATGATGACCATAACTCTGATATTAGAGAGAACAAATCTGGAAGATATTTCCGAATATGCTGCGTAAGCAGAATACGGGAATAATGAGTTTCGAGAGGATTGATAAAATCTTGGAGAGGGAGACAAAGTACATACCTGGCGAACAATAGAAACCAGTGTTCCAAGTTTCCATGTAATATACTCCTTAAGGTTATTATCATCGCACGAACGAACAGTATGAAGAAGTTCAGGCAGAACCTGATAAGAGCAGTTCCATTCAAAAAATTATTAGCTTTAACAAGATCACTATGACAAGAGAGAGAGAGAGAGAGAGAGAGAGAGAAAAGAGAGAGAGAGAGAGAGAGAGAGAGAGAGAGAGAGAGAGAGAGATTAACAAGATCACGATGCTAAATGTAATTATGAACTTTACATCTCCAAAGTCATAAAGCATTTGCGGCTTCAAATACCAATATCAAAGCCTAGTTGTTTTAGCCTTTAACCCGTTATTGTCTTCTCTTCTAACAACAATAGTCCTTCAGATCTAATCAAAATAATTAATGATGTAATTGGATATATTCTCCAACTGGAGAATACTGATGGAAAGCATTGAGTTTAGAATGATAAATTTTGTAAAATGTGAAAAGATATAAGATGAAAACTTAATGGTTAAAACTGGTGTGATTTATAAACAGTAAAATACTAAAATACTGACTGGTAATCAGGAATGTGTGGCGGGACGTGTACTGAATTTTGCAGGGAAGTTCATAGTAATGGTTGATTTTTATTTTAAAACATTATGTGCATAAGCTCGATGAGAGAAAAGTTAGGATGAGAGAAAAGTGTATTTTCTTTAAACTTCTGCATGCAATATCTGCTTTCTAGAAGAAGAAATCAAATAGAAAAATCTCTGGTGGAATGAAAATGAAAATGTTCTGTAACCGAAACACAGCGGTGCATGCAAGCTAAATGAGGCATCTCCAAGATACAAACGGTAAGGTCAGAACATGCAGTTGTTGTTATGGCTTTTAAAGAAATCTAAAGAAGAGGCATGCTGAATTATATAGAAGAGCAATAACTTAAAAGATTTATAACTGTAAAATAAAAATATTTAAACAGGGTGTCCTACTTTCCTATGCATCAAGCCTGTCCATTACACTTCCAATAATTCTAAACTTAATCAGCACACATTCACAAAGCATTTTACACTTAAGCTTGTGAATGCCTTCTAGAATACATCTTGCATATATGAATACCTTAAAATTAAGCCTAATATAGCAAGGTAATACCCTTTAAGAATGAGTGGGAGGAAAAATAGCTCCATATATGGTCGCTCAAGCAAGTAAGAATAGAAGCACAATATTTAGTAAGTGTGGAACATGCACAATTGACTAACCTTGGGTAAGTAAGGAACACAACCCAGATTCAATGCCTAAAATATAAAAAATATAAAATAAAAATAAAAAAAAAAAAAGAAAAAGGAGTTAGTATTCATTCTACAGGGTAAGCATGCATAAAATTCAAATTAAGCACAAAAGTAAAAGAAAGACGACAGATCCATAACACAGTTCTACCGAAAAAAACTATGACCATAGATACAAACAAACATCCATAATCTTACACTAACCTTGAAAATGAATGTTAGAGACCCAACCACCTTTTGATGGTAACTTGAAAGTGAAGAATCTCTAAAAATTCGCATCAGACAGGTAATAGCCACCTGAAGTAAATAGATATTAAAGAAAGTATTAAGAGCGTTCTAATTAGAATCACTCAGAGTGCTTAATAATAACTTTGATTTCTTATTCGAAGTCTCACAGTGGAGTAGTAGTCTTCTGATGTTGCGAAGGATGGCCAAAGATCCACAGGTACTTCATCCATCGACGACCTGGTATGCTGACTAGGATCACAAGCCGCACTAGCAACTTCTCCATGGGACCCTGGTAAAGTCAGTTGATTGCGTTTATGCACGTGGGGATCTAAAGCACCCATTATGCCAAGGACCTAAAATACAGAATGTAAAAAAGATATAATGCCAAGAACATAAAAAGACACAAATAACTGGTTAGGCGTGAATAATACATGTCGAATAAATCTTTGAGAAGTCAGAGGAATTAGATACCTTCAAAACTTCACGTCTGGTAGACCATGCCAACTCGCCATTAAGCAATTTAAGAAGCAGCCCAAGCAATTGAGGATACTCATTATATGGGGTGATAACATAACTGCAAATCATCCAGATTATTTTAGGTTTCATGGTAAATGGAGGTAAAAACAGTAGGTGTGCCTGTATAAAATTATCAATCAAAACCCAGAGTACATTACATTATACTAGAAATACTTGATGCATTTTTTTTTAATACTAGGAAGATGCACGTGCTACGCACGTGGTATTTTTTTTTCAAATTATTTTTAGTATTATGTTTATATTTAAAAGTATAATATAATTTTCTTTAATTTAGTTTAACAAAAAATGGTGTATCTTCATAATATAGCTTTCTAATGTCATCCTTTTACATCATACTCTTTGAAATATAACTCAAATTTGCTATAACTATAATTTATAATGATTATTATTTATTTGTTGTCTATTGGAAACTAACAAACTATGTCTAAATAATTCGTTCTCAATTATTTTGATTACTGTGGTTGCAAGTGTAATTATATTTGCAAGTATAATATTTCATAATACTTAGATATATATAGTTATTCCCTAGTCATATTGACATAAGAGATACATAAATATATGAAAATGTCTTTAATTCAAGTCGTAATTAACTAATTATTTCAAAAAGAAAATTTACTTGGAAAGCATAAGAATAATAACATCTTTATTGATTAAAGCTACTCATCTATCTATATATCTTTTCCGACATAAATTATTGTTGCATCTCCTAACATTGTCATACACATCCATTATCTTCATTCACGAATTTTTTCAAGACTATCCTAAATGTGAATAATCACTAATTCCAGTTTAAATGAATTATGTAATGATGATTCTTTCATTTTTTTTATCTTTTATATCTTCGTCAACATTTCATCCCTACTTCTGCTTAAAATAATTATCATTAATATTGTCATCAAATATAGTTTTCTAATGTCATTATTTTGCATCATACTCTTTGAAAAATAATTCGAATTTGTTATAACTATAATTTATAATGATCATTTTTTTATTGTAGATTGAAAGCTAAAACATTATGTTTGAATATTTCGTTCTCAATTATTTTGATTATAGTGGTTGCAATTAGCCATATTTGCAAGTATAACATTTCATAATACCTAGATATATATAATTTTTCTCTAGTCATAATGACATAAGAGACACATAAATATTTGAAAATGTCTTTAAAGTCATAATTATTTAAAAAAAAAATAATTACATGAAAAAGCTTAGGAATAATAACATCTTTATTGATTAAAGATACTCATCTATCTACATATCTTGTCCAACATAAATTTTTGTTGCATCTCCTAAAATTGTCATATATGCATTATCTTCGTTCCTAGATTTTCAAGACTATCCTAAATGTGAAAATTTAATGAATCTAGTTTTAATGAATGATTCATATTTAATGTAAATTCACTATTTATTTTTATTTTATTAATTTTAATTGTAACTATTTTCTAATGAGTACACGTATTATAAAAGTCAAGATTCAAAATTGAATTTTAGTTATTTTATTTTATTTCTGTAATTAATCTATTTTTGTTTATATTACAATTCAGTAAATGTTATTTTAATTCATGTAACACATTATTATAAAAGACATTTATACTATACATACTATTAAGAGGTAAACATAAATCATATTATGCATATTGTTTTAGTGAATAATTTAAACAAATATATATGTTAAGATCATATCTTTTTTACTTAACAAATAACTTTTTTCCCTAGAAAGTTGACATTTTGTATGTTGAATGATTATATTTGATTCAATCATTCTTAAACATATGCATGTTCACTAAATTGTTCCTGTTTAATTGTTTTAATACTATAATAAAAAATTTGTATGATAAACAATATAATATTTAGAAATTAAAGATGCTACTTTTAGTGGTGCATTATATAATTCACACTTATGAAATATCATATATTTTATTTAAGAAATCTTAAAATAATTTTTCTCTTACATTTTAAAATGCCTTTAAAATAATCAAATCGCTATCACTCATATTTTTAGAGAAGCAAATGTTTGTGCTGATTTTATTAAAATGCCTTTAAAATAATCAAATCGAAACCTAACATCATATGTAGATTAATTCAGAGTAATATAATTAAGAATAAATTATTATTTAAAATATATTAATTTGTGTAGGTAATGTTTTGTATGTGTAAGAACTTAAAGATATAATTAAGAATTAAAAGTAAAATATAATAATTAAAAGTTGTAACTTCCTAGTATGAATAAGAAAATTACATTAATAACCTTAACACTTATCTTTTTATGAGGATATTCTTGGCAATTCAAAAGTTTCAAGAAACAACTTATACTTTTAAAGGAGTTATAGATAGATAACATAAACACTGAAGTTATTGGCTCGGAACCAACTTTGTCAATTATCTCAAACTTATCTTTATAAGATTACAGCTGATCCTTCAATAAATTCTTTCCTTTCTCACTTTCAAACAACAACTGATAACATCTTCGCAAAAGTGCAAGCCACACATGTTTCGACTCATACCTATTGACTTCATAAGCAAACCAGCAAAATTTTCAGCTATATTTCCTCGGCAGTAACAATTTCTAATAATTATTAAATATTCTTTATATAAATGACACACTGAGACAGACTTCACCCCACTCAACAGACACACAGTCAAGCCACACACATCGGAGCGAAAGAAATATGCATACAGACATTAACATTAGTACATGCATGTTTTTTCATCACTCGTTATGATTTCATAAATTAAGAACCAGCATTTATTAAGTTTAATTGAAGATCATAAGGTCTAGGATCCAGAGACTTGAAATAATGTCGATCATAAAAATGATGGACAATACTCAATTTTCCCACTAGTTATACAGTTCATTCACTCACATATCACTGACTATCATCTTTTCAATCGTTATTTTATTATGTTTATACCAATCAACTTTAACCAATCAATTTAGATCTTCCATCTAACAGACTCTCAAAAAAAGTTTTACCACGTTTCTTTCAGAAAATCTTTTACCATAATCTCCAGTGAAATTCAAAATGAAGGTATATCCACGAACACCCTTATTCATGAGCGATCACACAAATACACCACAAATTAAATAAATCAAAGAAAGACATACCCCCTGCTCTGTACCACTTGACCTAGAGTGGTAACTACCACTTCACGTTTCATGGCAGCTGCACTATCCAATAAAGCTCCGACAATTAAGGGCATCAACTCTGGAATATACTGTCTCATTGCAAATCCACCCTGAACATGGAGATAGATAAACTATGGGTATTTGCATAAACAGTATCCAAAGTTAATTTGAAATATTGAAGACATGACTCACTCAATTAAAATAGTTAATACATCAATATATACCATTACAAGTACGGTTGTAATAATTCTTCCATAAAAAATATAAAAAAAGAAAAGAAAGGGAAGACAATATGCCCATGCCGACACTTTGTCCATACTAAACCAACTAAATAGTAGGCCAAGGAACACTTACTACTCTGGTGAGATCTCCAACAGTTACCAGAACTCCAGTTATGATGCCATTATTGACACTCGTCCCAGTTCCCTCATTGAGTTTTGTAATGAGGGCCTGAAAAAATAAAAAGATTAAAAATCAAACAAAAATAATAAAATAAGTAGACAAACAAACATCAGGTATTAGATAGATACAAAACCTTCTGTATTGGAGAAATATATGGGAGTATCAATCTCTCACAATTACGAATTAAGCATCCCAACATTTCGCACTTTCCTCTCTGCACTTGTTATAGCACTGCCACCAAAAGTAGCAATGTTAACGACATACAGAAGAATAATGTCAGCAGATTAACAATTTAAGTGGGTCAACAACACCTTTGTTTTAGGTAAGTTAACAATTGAATAAGATGGCGACGAAGAGCTGGAAGAACATATGTTGGATTCTTTGCAGATAGTCTTCCAGCCAGTGATATAGCAATTTCCCGAACTGCGAAATCCTATAAGATAATAACAAAAGAGATGCTCAACAAAATAATTAACATACAACACATTTTTAAACAGGATAAGTAAGGCTCAGCCTTATTCACTTCTGCATGCCTAAAAAAGTACACATTCGGAAGTGAGCCAACATGGTGGATAGAACGATTGTAGAGAGAGAAAGAGAGTAATAGATCTTGACAAGTATCAAATAACACGGTCAATAAAAACTAAAGCTAATAACAATGTTTCAATTTTATCTGCCCGCAAAATAGCAACTTTTCAACAAAATTTCTTTCGGAAAGTGAAAGTTGCATTAGAACACCATAAGATATAGAAACATTGTTTATCCAAATAATAAACTAGATTACCTCATCATTTAAGGCAGCAAAAACTGCAGTCAAACAATCGGCCTGTGCCAAATAATCATCGAATCCCCCAGTCTCATGCAAAGAAGAAAATATAGATAGTCGAACCGCAACATCAGCATCAGCAACAGCTGCAATGAGAAGTTTTTCCACAATCTACACAAGGAAATGACATTATAAACATTAGAAAGACGAACCAAAGCAAAAATAATGAGCCAGAATACTAAGTTTAACCATGTCAGAACGGCTGGTGGACATAGCACTGACCGAAAAGTGAATCTATAGCATAGATAATGAAAGTAGTTACTGATTAGTAGTAGAAAGAAATAATAAAAGAATATAAGAAACAAGAAAACACGAACCTAAAAAATACTACATCTTTTACGCAAGTATACATACTAATGAATCCCCCAAGCCCCAAAACAGCTCCACATGCACACCACGTAGAATTTAAACCCATTACCTAATCTTTCTTACTTAAAAACACTTCCATCACTTCCTTTTTCTTTCCATTTCAAGATTCATCAGAATATACCCATCCAACCATTACATATCTAACTAGACCCCACAGCAACACACGCAAAGATATATATATATATATATATATATATATATTTATATATTTATATATATATATTAAGTTAAGTGATTCCTATGACATAGAATGCAGAAAATGCAGAACCATTTTGCTTAGAGAACAGAGAAACACAAAAAAGATAATTATACTTGATCCAATTCATTTAACCGTGAAAAGCATGCGATATTTTATGAAGAATTATTGCATCATGTCCAAAAAAGATTAGATGGTAAACAATTAAACCATTCCCCAGGAAGAAAGACATCAGATTATCAAATTCACATGCATATATATCTTTATGCCACAAGTATACAAGTATCATAGATGTGAAAAGAAATTATAAGCACTAATTCGTTGAAAAGGGTTTTAGTAACAGGAAGTTAAGGCAATTTGCTCAAAATCAAACCTCCTCAATGAGGCGACGCCGTCTTCCACCAGAGCGAGTTGATCTATTAGAAGTTAATGGAACCGACAAGATGCCAAACAAGGAATTTTCCATTAGTTTGCAGCAACACAAGGCAGCGTCTTTTCTAGTACCCCCATCATCATCTTCTAGATAGGGCACAACTAACTCTCTCGCGAACTCAAGAAGATCCCGATCCTGAAACAATAGCTTCTCATTTTGATAAGAAAATAAAAACGAGCAAGATGCAGAGCTGTTGGATAGTAAAAACTAAATCAAGCAAGAGTTTATAAAGCAAGTTGAACAAGAACACAACCACATAATACAAGGAAAAAGAAAAACCAAAACCCGCAAGATGAAAAAAGCTGCAACCTTAAAATTGAAACGCGCAAGAGTCTGTAAAGCAAGTTGAACAAGAGCTGAACTACAGTGTTCTGATACTTGCAACATAGCAGCTGAGCTAGTAGTCCGAGTAATGGCATTGGAAGGCCTTGACTGAACTTGTTGGTTACGAGCAAAAACTCCAGAAATGCAATCAAGTAAGCGTACTTGAATGGTCGGAAGCAAGGTTGGAATGCTGAAGGAAAGAAAAAAATGTTTTCTATCAATGCCTCACAATTCGTTAAGACAAGCAGAATAAGCTGCATGCAGGATGTTAAAGTGAAGATTGAAGACCTGGCAGTTATGTGCTCAAGGGCTTCCACTAAGGTGGAGGATAATCCAACCGAAAACATTACATCCAGAAGATTTCGTACGTGAGGCTCCATAAAAGGTCCCATAGCTTTTGCAAGATTGCCAACGCAGGCCAAAGCCTCCATAGAGGGCTGCCCTCTACGAGGAGTAATCTATGAAGAAGCAAAGCCAAATGCAAAGAGTGTTATTCAGTGCAAATATATACCCAGAAAAAAAAAAAAAAAAAAAAAAAAAAAAATACTATTATTCAGTGAAAACATAATATTAAGATTAATTTTTTGATGTAACTCATACAACATCATGCAAGTGAGATGTTATTGTCGGCAAATAATTGATGAGTTCACCATCCAATGCACCAGCCATTTCCCCAAGAGCAATGAACCCGCTAGCAGCTTCCGCAGGCATTTTAAGAACACGAAATATGTGCTTCATGCAAGTCTGCGAAAAACAACAAAATTTGTTGGCTAAACTGACACATCGCGAAATAATTCACACCACTGGGGCTAAAGTTTAGTTACATGCAGAGGGGAAAGCATCTAACCGTCAGATAGTTCGTCACAAAACGGTCCCGTAGGAAATAGGCAATTCGAGGAAGCAAAGAAGTTATGCTGAGACGAACAAGCCGATCACGATGCTCTAGATACCGAAGGACAATCTCAGCAACTTCTCTATATCGAGACATCATGAACTCACCTGTATTCCTGTAAAATGTAACATTTGCCACAATAAGAACCCATTAATAAGCGAATACTATTAAACAATCGTAAACGAGCAAAATCTGATATTTTACCTAGTTTTTTTTCCCATTTTGTGGTACAATGGGTGTAAACGAGTTGAGACGAACTTGAGCTCATGTTGCTCGAGCGAGCTCGGCTCAGCTTGTTAACACAACGAGCTTATAATTGACTTCAAGCTCGGCTCGTTTTATCAATGTTAACGAGCCAAAATCGAGCTTCGACGAGCCGAACTATAGAAAATTCTATAAAAAAATCATCTTTTCGAGCCTTATCGAGCCGAGCTCGGGTTAACCAAATGAGCTCAGCCCAGCTCGTTCATCAAAGAAGTCAAGCCGAGCTCAGGAGCAGCTCGTTTCATTTAACAGCTATATAGCAGTTAACCTAAGTACATAATGCCACCCTCAAGTACATCCATGACAAATGTTTAAAATATCCTACTATCTCGAACACAGTGGTAAAATAAGGTCTTTATGGTGATAGACACGATGTTAGGCATCGTGATGCTACACATCATGAATACACAGGAAAAGTGATTAGTCCAAATTAAAGGAAGTAAGGAACTTAAAATCATGTTTAGGGGAAAACCAAGCAAGGATTACATCGAAAGCTCTGTTGCACCACAAATTTAAATGTAAATGAAAAACTCAAAAACCCAAAATACCAACTTGTCAGTTGCCACTATATAATACATCAGATGCCAACCTAAAGCAGGTTAAAAAGTATCACCGAACCCACCTCAGCAGTTCCCCAACTGCAAGCAGCGAACCATGTATGCAATGTATAGGAGCATTTCTTCCCAAACCATCTTGTGTAGCCTCAAACATACGATAATACCTGCCATCGACATCAGGAAGCAAATATTGTTCCATAGTAAGATTAGCTGAGAAAGTTTCACAACAAAAGTCTTGAAAAAAAACACAAATTACATATATAAACAGATACAAAATATAGAAACTAAATTTTACCCACTGTTTCACCAGAGGTTCATCTAATTCATTATTGATTATTACAGCCCCAATTCATGTTTCACCGATTATTACAGCCCCAAAATCTTACTGGAAAGAACTACTCACAAGAGAATGAATAATGATAATGCCAAAAGCTTTAAAACATCTAACAGGATCAGTTCCAAAATCTGGAAGGGAACACAAATAAGTGTTAAGAGTCGAGATGTGAGGACTTTAAACATTTAGCCCCATGGATCATCAAGTAAGAAAATACCAAAGTCGAGATAGGTTGTGAACTTTTAAACATATAAACTTCAACATCGGCAATTAGACCAAACGACAAAATTCATGGCAGCATTCACAGCAAGATGCAGCACACAGCAGGAAGAAAAAAAAAAATGCAAGCCACGTAATAAAAGCCAGACAAAGTAATAAGCACCAGAATTTACCATTGTATAAGACTGACACTCCACACTCTACAAGGAAAAAGCAACTATTAACCTAAGGAAGTTAATTCGAAACAACGAGCATGGGAGTAAAATTATATCCTAATGAACTGCTAGTAATAACACCATATAAACTACACTTACCACTGAACACGCCATCGAGTTTCACGCTTCTCAATGACCCAAAGGCAGGCTCGCAATGCCTCCACAGCTCTCTCCGGAATATTCAACTTTGGATCTCTCAGAGCAACCCAAATAGCTTCCACAAACTCAGGAACATGCACATTGAAAACTGTTGAAGCATTCTCAGCCATTTCCTAGGACAAATATAAGGAACTTTTTCAACAACCTCAAGGACTAAAGGACCAACAAATATCAACGAGAAAAACTTCCAGAGGAGTAACTACTAGGCCATTCAAAATCTTAATTAATAAGGATGTCTATTAACTTTCAATTCATCTTTGGTGAAGCAGATCAAGAAAGACCGGTAGGATATAAATAAAAAGCAAAATCATGAAATTACGGCACTCAAGCCATAATTGCGAACTTAAACAGTTGCTGAGTGGAACGACCAGGATGCCCATCGGATGCGTATAAATTTCATTGGAGCTTAGTCATCAAAGTTAATAGTTACTTTCAAGCAAGATAGACTTTGGAACATATAGAAACCTATGAGGCATTGTACTATAGTTTCCTCTTTGCTTCACCAGATCAATTTTACGGAAGACTAAAATCGTTTAGCATTGTTTTATTTTCTACCTTTCTCTTAGGTAAAGACCTTTTCATTTTGCTGAAATGTGGTCAATGCTGAGGTCTTCAGCACTTTCTTACAGTATCATGCATAGTTTTACTACAACTCTATGAAAAGGAAAAATAATTCGACTTTCCTAAAGCTGGTGACAATAATACTAAACAAACCAGGTGTGTGACATCAAGCAACAAAAGTACATTTAGAATTTTAATTTCAAGAGATGAAAGAAAAAAGAAAAAATACACAGTTGAAGAAGAAGCATAATATGTAAGACAAAAAGTGTATATTATAATAATAATAATAATAATAATAATAATAATAATAATAATAATAATAATAATAATAATAATAATAATAATAATAATAATAATAAATGGATGTTGAAACGTGAATAAGCAGAAATGAGTGTGAAGCAAACAAGAACTAAGCTTTTCCTTGTTTCTTTGAAAATGAATTCCATAATGCCTCTTTAGGTGAAAATGTGTTTGACTCAATCTCATCTTTAATAGAAGTTACGTAAAAGGTGTAGATCTTGTTGCGGCTGCAAGCTAACAGACTCAAAACACGATTAGGATAATCAAGTAGATCTGGAAAAGGTAACGTACTTTTAAAATTAAAACCGCAGCTAAACGCCGGTATTCAATTCTATCCCCACCAAGCCAATCCAGTGCAATTTTTACCTGAAAAGCATGGATCAACAGTCAAAAAAAAAAAA